TCTGTTTGACTGGATGTAGATTGTTATATGATTACCTATTATATGTGTACATGTTTGGTCGGTGACTAAGGCTTCACTACTTTGTACGTAAGCCAACAGGCCGGGGCATACCAACCCAATGGTTGAATGGGCCCGAGGGTATTCCAACCCGAGGATGATTGGACCCATAGTATGTTGGCATTCCAGCCCGATGGTTGAGGGCCTGGGGTATTCCAACCCAATGGTTGATTGGACCATAGTATGTTGGCATTCCAACCTGATGGTTGAGGGGCCTGGGGTATTCCAACCTGATGGTTGATTGGACCCATAGTATGTTGTTATTGTATATGTGTTATTCGTTTGTGTGTTGGTATTTTGGGGGAAACTCACTAAGCTTCGTGCCTACAGTTTTGGTTTATGGTTTCAGGTACTTCAGTGGTCCGTGGCAAGGCGAAGACGTGACCGTACACATCCTTGGTTTTCAACTGATTTGATCTTGGGAGACTCTGATTTTAAATAATGTTTTGAAAACAATGGTTTTGTAACACTACTATTAGAAAAAAGGTTGTTTTGAAAAGTTTTAAATTTGTTGAATTTTTGGAATGTTACATAACTTCTTCAAAGTGATGAAATTTTATCGTTTGTTACTACTTCACTCATTTTATAGGAAGGGATTAATCTTTAGGCGTGTTCTAGTCGGTCGGGTAACGCCTAGGGACTAATCGGAGATTAATCGGGACCTAGTTGAGATTTTTACAATAGTGGTAAGAACTAAGAAGTAAATTTTGATTTTGTTTCTGATTTCTGATTTTTGGATTTCTTTATAAGCATATCATTGTTTTTCTGATTTGAAGTGTCGAAAATCAGAAGGTAATTTTCTGATTTATGGCTTTCTTTAGAAGCATATCATTTTTTTTCCTGATAATGAAATATATCATGCTGATTTGGATTCTGATTTTTTCTACAGTTTTGATACCATTTCTTGTTGATTTGAAGTGTCGAAAATCTAGAACCAAGAAGAAATCTACCAATCGCAAATAAAGTCTTTTTTTTTTTTACAATTTAGGATGCCTCCTAGATTAAAAAAATATGAATCTGGATATGAAAATCGTAAGAAGAAACAAAAAATTGAAGAATTTAATAAAACTCAAGCAGGATCTATGGATAAGTTTATAACAAAAAAACACAAAACTTTTCTGGAAAATAAAAAACAAACTGTTAATGAAGCTAATCGTGATGATAATGATAATGTTGATGTTGATGTTAATGAGAATGCTAATGATAATGTTGATGTTAATGATAATGCTAATGTTGATGTTAATGATAATGATGGCTTTCACATTTTTGATATATTTGATCGAAGAAATTTGGATGTTCTTGACTCTAACATGATAAATATTTTAGCATTGAAAGGTCCTAAAAGAAATTTATCTGTTATAAAAGGTATTAAAGATAAATATTTGAGAAGATTTTCTGCAACAAAATATACTAAAACTTTATCAAATGGAGTAAAATGTGATAGATATTTAATTGTTTATTCTAAAGAAATTGATATTTTTTTTCCTTTTGTTGTAAAATATTTCAAAAAGGGTGTGGAAAGGGTCAATTAGCAAATGAGGGTTTTAAGGGTCAGATACATCTTAACACTAGAATTAAAGAGCATGAAACTAGTATGAAACTAGTATGGAGCATGTTAAAAATATAAATACTCGTTGGGAGAGTCGTGTTGATAGTGTTAAAGCTATAAGATTTCAAATTTTTTATATACAAAAAGCTTTATTTCAAGTAGCTAAAAATGATAATGATCCAAAAATAACAAGTGCAGCTAAATCCTTAGCAAAAAATAAATTTGGTAACTTTTAGTTTGTATTGGCATTAGTAGTTTGGTATGAAATGTTAAATACTGTTAATTTAGTTAGCAAACAATTACAATCAAAAGATATGCTTATTGACATTGCTATGGAAAAATAAAGAGGTTCATTTCGTTTTTTATGGAATATAGAGAAACTGGTTTTTGAAATGCTTTACAAATTGCAAAAGATATTGCCTTGGAAATGGGCATTGATCCAATATTTCCTAAAAAACGTGAACCTAAAATAAAAAACATTTTGATGAGATTTCAAACGATACTTCTTGTAGTGTTTCACAATCCGCGCAAGAGAAATTTGGGGTTAAATATTTTATTTATATTGTTGATAAAGCAATTACTTCTTTAACTACAAGGTTTGAACAATATCAACAATATGATAAAATATTTTGTTTTTTGTTTAATTCTTAAAAATTACTTTCATTAGATGATATAACCTTAAAGTGTTGTTGTAAGTCTCTTGAAACTTCACTCAAGAAAGATGAATAATCGGATATTGATGGACATGACTTATATATTGAGTTAAAATTACTTCTACATCTCTTGTCTAAGGAAAAAAATGATAGCAATTGATATTTTATAGTTTTTAAAACGTGTTTGTTTTCCTATTACATCTATTGAATATAGAATTATGTTGACTACTCCTGTTGCAAATGCAGAACGGAGTTTTTCAAAATTGAAGATTTTGAAGTCCTACTTACGATCTACAATGAATCAAGCACGACTTAATGGATTGACTTTGATGATGATTGACCGTAACATGTTGGATAAAGTTACTTATGAAGATGTTATTGAAAAGTTCATTTCAACGAATATTAGGAGGATGACTCTTTTAAGTAGAAGCCTTTTTTTGTGTGTATCATTTTGAATGAAATTTTAATTTTATGTATTTGAAATAGAAAATTAAAATTTATAATTTTTTTGCTTAAATTTTGAGATCTTTCAATTTTTAGGGCATATTTTTTGTTAAATCAAACAAGGTCTCCAAAATCTCGGTCTCCAAAATCTCGGCCTTGTTTCAACCAAACTCATTATCCCAAATATATGAAAACAATACATATAGGTCAAAACATAGTAACATCATTTATCACTAAATTTTATACAAGAACAAGCCAATATATCAATTAACACGCTGCACATACATCAGATCCATCACCACCAACTCGATACTTTTATAGATTTGACAATAGGAAACCTGATACAGTCTCTTTCGAGATGACTATTTTGAGATGACTAATCTCCTGATAAAATAAGAACAATACACAATCTTTGGAACGATTTTCTCTCCTCTTTTTATCAAATGCAGGTTACAATTTATAGAAAACATGGAGTTACTGACTAGCTAAAAATGAATGGAAATATGCATGCTGAAATTAAACTTGAATCCTACTTTACTACAATTAACTTCTACTAGAAACTGAAATGAGACTAAGTCTTCAAGCACGTGACTAGACCAAGTCCTCTAGGTTGACTGATGCACATGCTGATCTACGGATGAGAATGTATCAATACTCCACCCCTGAAGAATGGCCTTATCCTTAAGGTCAAAATCAGTTTGTGTCACGTAAGGCCAAGGTGGATCGGTTTCCGACTGAAGGAGAAGGAATTTCGGTGGGTTGCATTTATGGTCTGGTTGATATTTGGCTAGACAGTTGTAACAAAGGCCTTCGGCGCGACGCTTTTGCATTTCCATTGGGGTTAATTTCTTGATCGGAAGTGATGGGGTAGGGGAAGGGGGGGGGCAACCAACAAAGGTGTGTTCGTTGGTGGAGGGTGGTCGGGAAGACCATCAGACGATGGAAAGTGGGCATGAAGCTTGTCTTCCACTAGTTTAGCAAGACCATAGGCTTGATGGAGAGACATGGGGTGGTGCAGGGCAATTTCATTCTGGATGTCGTTGTGAAGTCCCGATATGAAACAATTACGAATGGCTATAGGTGTTAAGCCATCGACACAATTACTGAGTTTTTCAAACTCGGCTTGATAGGCTGCACTGTGGAGGTCTGTCTTAGCTTGAACAGACTTGCTTGATGGTTTTCATATGAGGATGGTCCAAACTGGAGTTCCATGGCTCTGCAGAATTCTGTCCAATTGGTAAGTAACTGATTGATGGTTAGGTGTTTGTACCAGCTAAGGGCTTCACCCGTGAAGTAAAAAACAGCCAAGGGTAACCTTTGATTATTAGGCATGTTATAATAATCAAAATAGTAGTTAGCTTGAAAGATCCAATCTAATGTGTTGGACCCATCGAAATTAGGCAAAATAATTTTTTGGAGGGCGTGGTTGATGGTTTGGGGGTGGCGGTGGTGGTGGTTGATGTTCTTTGTTGACGAGGATGTTGACAAGTTGTTCGAGTTTTGAAGCTGTGGTTGTGGAAAGACGAATAAGTGTTTGCATCTGATCATGAAGGACAACATGAGAGGTATCTGAAGTGGATCCTAACTGTGGTTTTGGAGGCATGCAGATGAGGGAATGAAAGCACCAATTGATACAGTCTATTTCGAGATGACTAATCTCCTGATAAAATAAGAACAATACACAATCTTTGGAATGATTTTCTCTCCTCTTTTTATCAAATGCAGGTTACAATTTATAGAAAACATGGAGTTACTGACTAGCTAAAATGAAGGAAAATATGCATGCTGAAATTAAACATGAATCCTACTTTACTGCAATTAACTTCTACTGGAAATTGAAATGAGACCAAGTCTTCAAGCACGTGACTAGAGCAAGTCGTCTAGGTTGACTGATGCACATGCTGATCTACAGATGAGATTGTATCAAAACCCTAACACAACTTCATATATTATTGGTTCTTAGTTTTGATAACTTACTCAATTTGTGCTTGGATTCTCGTAAGATTCACAGTATACGATCTTTGCTTTCTTTGTGATTTCGGCCGTAAAAACCTAACAAGGAAAATGATTAACCCTAAAATAATTGAGTTTATAAGTTTTTCGAACTTCCAAGATTTTCAATTTGACCCCAATGTTTATGTTCTCTAATTTTACCTTTAGCTTTTCATTAAAAACCGTCTAATTTTCAAAGTATACATTTATTTAACATTTCATACCATCAATTTACAAGATTCACGGAATACAAAAATACATCTGTATTTAACAATTATCACCTAAAAGCTTACTAACATGACACATCAAATATTTTGAAGCTTATCCAGAATATGTTGCAACTCATGGACAACACTTGCGATATTCATTCGTTGTGAGGAATCCACAGAGCATGATACTCCTATGTTGACAATTGAAGCAAGGCATTGCTCTATCTTATTTGCATTTGTTAATGTATATTGCTTAGAAGTAGCATCTTCTTGAAGCTTATTCAGAAGGTCATCATCAATAACTTTGGTTACAGAGTGTGGCAAGGCAATGCACGCAAACTTATGAAGGTTTAGACCTTCAGTAAAGATGTTGTCTGTAGGCCTTTTTCCTGTCATCACTTCCAATAGTAGTATTCCAAAACTATACACATCCCCACTACTTGTCATCTCATTCCCGACACCATACTCTGCAACTTATAACTTATAAGCAATTACTTTATAAAAAGCAAATACAGTAAATAAATATGGGGATCTTGGGATGCATGAATTTTACCTGGAGGTGCATATCCAATTGTTCCCCTAATGCCACTTGTGTTCTTTTGGTTTGAATTTGTTCCAGGAAATTGAGCTAAGCCAAAATCTCCAACATGGGCCACCATATCATCATCAAGTAGAACGTTGCTAGGCTTCAGGTCACAGTGAACGATGGTTGGCAGACAGTGATTGTGAAGATAATCAAGTGCAGATGCAATATCAATGAGAATATTTATTCTTTGAAGAAGATTCAGTCTTGATTTACTTACACTTGAATGCAACCAATCATGTAAGCTCCCATTGGGCATGAACTCATATACTAAAGCTTTGAAGTCATTGCCTTGAAAATCAACACTTGAACATGAAGTTATTATCTTCAATAGATTCCGGTGACGAATACTCCTCCATGCTTCACACTCCACTATAAAGCTTTTGTGAGCACCATGGTTTTGAAGATGTATAACTTTGACTGCAACAAATCTATCATCGCGATTAAGGATCCCTTTGTAAACAGAGCTGAATCCACCCTCACCAATCAAATTGGCTTCAGAGAAGCCATTGGTAGCCTTGAGAAGTTGACTGTGTGAGACTTGCATGAATCGTTTGTCCCTCAATGATTGAGAGTGAGATGCTTGGCCCTTCCTTTTCTTACATGAAGCATACACAATACATAATATGCTGAAAAGTGTGAATGGAATCAAAATGACTATTTCGAACAAAGGAAACCTTTTCTTATGTTTTTTTGTATTGCATTTGAGCAACCCAAGTTCAGTCAAGCCACCACAAAGCCTACTATTCCCGGAAACAGAGAATGCACTTGCATTGGCAAACACTCCGACCACCGGTACATCGCCCTCAAAGTCATTAAAGGACAGGTTTACATATTTTAATAAGATCAACTGTTCCAAGAATTGAGGAAATTGGCCCGATAAATTATTATGCGAAAGATCGAGGGTCGAAACTCCTTTCATGAAACTTAATGACGGTGGTACCATGCCTTGAAATGTGTTGCCTTTGAGGGATAAGAATAAAAGGCTAGTACAACCACCAATGCTACTAGGAATGTCTCCTGATAAATTGTTATCAGATAAATCCAAATAAGTCAACATCTTGAGGTCGCCAACCTCTACTGGAAGTGACCCAGACAGGTTGTTTTGAGAAAGATTTAGTCTGATGGTTAGAGATGTAAGTTGAAGAAGTTGAGTAGGTATTTTTCCACTGAGTTTATTATCATCAAGGTGCAACTCCAATAGATGATGACAATTTCCCAGGCTTGATGGAATATGTCCTTCCAATCTGTTGGAATTTAACCAAAGGCCAGTCAACAATGATAAGTTCCCGATGGCATCTGGAATTGGCCCTGAAAATTGGTTCTTATATAGGTAAGCTTCTTGTAGGTTTTGAAGCTTACCAATGGTGGAGGGGATTTTCCCTGTAAATCGGTTTTCTGTTAAAGAGAAACCGATCAAGCCGACCAGATTACCTATACTTGAAGGGAGGTTTCCATGAAAATCATTTCTATCTAAAGTTAGAATACTTATTTGATCAGAAAGATTACCAATTGATGTGGGCAGCACTCCTTGAAAATTGCAGTTACTAAGATGTAACACCTTTATTCTGCTGCAGTTCTTAAAAGTATCAATAAACTTCATATCGTCTGCTTCTCCAAATCCATAGATGTTATTACCCAAGGATACAAAATATATATCCTTTAGTTTTGCAAAGTCAATTTTCAGCTTCCCACTAAAATTGTTGTAGTTCACTTCAAGAAACCTAAGTTTCGAACAGTTAGATAACGAGGGTGGAAGAGGTCCGGTCAGTTGGTTATTCCGTAACTGAAGGAGCTCAAGATGAGGGAGCATTTCACCAAATGAAGAGGGAAGACTACCAGTAAGCTGATTCTCAGCCAAGGAAATATTAGCTAGGAGTGAAAGGTTATAAATGGAATGAGGGATGGTTCCAGATAAGTTACAAGCACCAAGGTAAAGTTGTGTTAAGCTTTTCCACTGGCCTAAGGTGTCTGGAATGCTCCCACCCAACGGATTTTCAGCAACAAAGAACGCTTCCATTGATGTTATATTCCCCAAGACAGGCGGGATTCCACCGGTTAACTTATTATCATAAACTGAAAGATAAGTAAGTTTGGAGAGGAAACTGATCTCTTTGGGTATGCTTCCAACTAGCTTGTTATCAGAAAGTTCAAGCACTACAAGGTTAGAACAAGCAGACAGGTTAGCTGGAATGACTCCGTTGAATTCGTTAGAACCAAGATAGAGGAAACGTAGTCTAGAGAGACGACCCAGTTCATGAGGAATGGTTCCATGTAAGTTACAATCTTCACAGTAAAAATCTGTTAAGCTTTTCCAATGGCCTAAGGTGTTTGGAATGCTCCCTCCAAACGAATTTTCAGAAGCAGAGAACAGTTTCATTGATGTTATATTCCCCAAGACAGGAGGGATCCCACCTGTTAACTTGTTTGTACTAGCATAAAAAAAAGTAAGTTTGGAGAGAAAACTGATCTCTTTGGGTATGCTTCCAACTAGCTTGTTATCACCAACTCCAAGGTTTTCAAGTTTAGAACAACGGGACAGGTTGGTTGGAATGAGTCCGTTGAATTTGTTGTAGTCAAGAGAGAGGTCTTGTAGCCTGGAGAGACGACCAATTTCATGAGGGATGGTTCCTTGAAAGCTGTTGTTCCAAAGAGAAAAGAAACGAAGGAAGCTGAGGTTCCCTACATAAGGAGACAACGAGCCTTCTAGCCCTTGCGACTCCAACGATACATCAATGACTCTTCTGTGGCGCTTCCCACATGAAACACCACTCCAATCACAGAAATGGAAGGAAGCATTCCATGAGATTAGTGGATCGTTGGTGATCATAGACTTGAAATGCAGCAACGCCTGCTAATCGGTCTCATTACCACCACCGGAAGCAGAGGCAGTGGAGGTAATTATTAGAGATGTAACAAGACAAGAAAAGAGGAAAGCAATATGAAAGTTCATTTTTGGAATTTGGAACTAAATTTTGGAGCACGTCAATAATTGCTGGCTTTTAAATTTATAGTCAGCTAGCTTTTGCATGTTGATTAGCATATGCTGACATGCAAATGGTGAAATGAAAGCCATCCACAAATTCCTTATCACCTTGCAGACCAAGTCAAATCGAGATTAATCCTCCTCGTCAAATAAATGATAGCAATAAATTGAGATGATGATTGATGATAAGATATTTCTTAATTATCATATTTCCAGCCATTTGTTTTATTTTTGTTTGTTTTGAACATAAGAAATAATCCAAGAGCGATTACATTGACCAACCAATCAAATAAAAAGTTAACTAAAACGATTATAAAGTTTATTGTACACATAGTACGTACAAAGCTTCAAAACAAACCCAAAGAAAGTGATATATATGAGATATCTATTTCTTTTACTTTTAATCAAAAAACACTTTCACTTGACTAAAAAAGAGGATGCCTTTCAATATTCCCTCACTAGGTTTGCAGCTGAATTCATTTGTCTACAATTAAACTACCAAATCTTAATGGAAAGGAAACGATTAATTCAAACATTAACATACCAGCAGATTACTAAATTTCCAGTGAAATGGCATACTTGCCTAGCTCCTCAAACAAAACGGTGTTTAGTCCTCAATAACTTAGACATACGTGATTGGCTTGTCGTAATTAAGTTCTTCAATTGCCTCTGTACCAAATTTAGTAAAAAATTAGGCACAAGACCAAAATAGTCATGATTGCGAAAAAAAAAAAAAATTCAACTATACTGTTTTGTAATAAACATCGATGCATTAAAAAAAAAAACCTTCTTTACTTCTATTTCACTCAAGTTAAAAAAAGAGAATGTAACAACCATATACAAGAACATTTCAAATTTTGAAATTTTCTGCAGCATCCGTCTATAATAACATGATTTGCCAAAATATGTCACATGTTTATATACATATAACATCAACCCAACGAAAGCAGGAAGTAAATTGACAAGATCAATCCTATCACATTTTTTGTCACCAATATGCCGGATGGCATGAATGAAGCTGCTCTGTTTGATCTCCTTAGAAAATACTATATATGAAGTGATTGAAGAAATGCAGACCGCCGGTTGAAATTCATCAGCCACAAATGGAACACACAACACTGATTTCATGAACAACAGAAGGTCGATTGGTTTAATCTTAAATGGGTAAAGACACGGGAACCGAATTTTCACCTGGCCGCGAATCTCTGATCTCCCCCAGGTGCGCTCCTCCTCGCTAGCTGAACAGTTTGGAAAGGTCCTGATACCTTTCTCACCTGATTCTGACGTCATCAGCTGGAATAGTTTGCATCCTAACTCGGACTTAAACTTTCATAAATTAACACAACGATGGGCGTCTTATTGGATAAAATGGGGATTCAGATTCGCGTTAGACGACGACATCTCCATACCCGAGTCCGTCCAAACAGTGGAAGTTTTGCCGAAATTCCTCAGCGATTTGGATTTCTTGGCTGGTGAAGAAAAAAACGACTTTGTAAAAAACTGCTCCTCTGATCAGTTGTGGGCCGATATCAACTCTCCACAATTTCCTCATAATTTTTCCGTTGATCAAATGGTTCGGTGGTGCCTCGAATCACCCAAAGAATAACGATATGGATCCTTTCATCTAAGATATACTTTGTAGCCCAGAGATCGACAGACCCCTCCCCTCACGTCACGGCGATACACCTTCGCCAATTTCCAACCCCCTTCTAATCCGGATCTTCTTATTGGGCCTGCAGTTTCTGCCACTTGAGCCCATCGAACACAGTCTTATATCAAATAATTCATCGTCGCCTCGCCCCAACATACGAATTCCTACAGACTACAGCCAAGGGGAAAAGGCTAACACCCCGTTCTCGAGTTCAACTTAACGAGAGAAAGGAAAGGAAATGGGTGGAAATGAGAAGAAAATAAAAGAAATTGGTGTTCCCGAGTTTCATTAAAGGAAGGAAGTGGAAGGAAGTGGAGGGAAATGGGAGGATCACTTTCCCTCCTAACTTTCCTTTCCTTTCTCTTCATTTCTCTCATGACTTTCTTTTCTCTTCTCTTCTTTTCTTTTGTTAAACTCGGGAACGAGGCGTAAAGGCAAAAGAAGAAAACAGCAGCCATTCCTCCCACCCAAATCCTACACATGCGTATCCGACTCCGCATCATTGATCAAGAGTTCCATGTCCATAGAGGTTGGAATGCTTACTGGATTCCATATATATGAATTGAAGAGGAAGAGAAACTTAGGCAAGTCACTGAAGATAATGGAGAGATGCCTGGACTTAAATGATGCAAAAAGATTCAAACACTCAGGGGTAATTAATTCTCCTTACTTTGATATGATGCCTATGGAGGTTTCGGAGCGAGGCAACATTCCAATCAAAACACATCTCAGTCCATAAACTCACAGACAATATTCAAATTAATCTGCTCTTTTCAAGATCAATGACGGTTGGATTGATTGGGTTTGTAAACCATTGGAGGTACTAGCTTCTCTCTTGTAATATGTAACTCGCTCCACCTTTTCAAGCATTTTGCTAGTTAAAATAAAATTTTCCGTTCAAAAATAAAACTATAATTCGGGCGTTACGTTGCTACATATTTTTACCAAAAATGCTATCTTCCATATAGTAGCTTCTCCTAACAAGGTATTATCAGTACTGTGTGCCTTTGCAACTCAGACTAGGATATACGTCAACAACACAAAAAGGGTTAGGTTGATTTTACACCTAGCGAGTTCAAGGATTTATATGTTAAAATGCAATATATATCCATTCACAAATAAAATTAAAATAACTGTCACGTAAACAGTTGGGTAAACATTTAACTTTAATTTGTTAAGTCAGTTAAATGTTAGTATTCACAATCTAGCAGTTTTAGTGCCACCAACTAAGTCAAATTGAAGATAATAGCCAATATAACTTTCCTTCCAATGCCCATATATTGATACATATTACTTTGCTTGTACACATAATCTATCATAATTCAACATTTCAGTTCAACAGTATGCAAGATTTCAATCAAGATAGCATATATATTAGCTTAACATGCCTTATCAAGGCAACCAAACACGTGCAAAACTTCGATTTGTGACATTTCTAGAACATACCTTACAATTTAATTCAATACAACCTAAGCAACAAGCTCAAATTCAATTTGGATATAGCATTTGATATCAGATAAATATTTTTGATCGTATAAGCGAAGTTTTCATAAACCATCTTGGTACTCAAGCTGTTGACTGGGATGTTAGGATCGTGTGATTCATCCCTAGATGTTGCCAGGTCATTATATAGATCTAGGAAAACTTATGCACTAGCATGTTCACTTCCTTAATGCACACAACAGCATCATGTAACTCATCCCCCTGATTTCTCATCCAAAACGAGCCTTACATCACTTTTAATTAGTTTCTTTCAACCAAACTCATAATCCTAAATAAATAAACATACTTATGACACTACAAAGAATATGTCATTTAGTGCATACACTTTTAATAGCATATATTTTTATGCCACTATATCAAGTTTTTTATGGCATATCTTATGTGCCACTATAAAAATTAGGGAAAATGACATATATGCCCTATTATGTTTCTAGGGTTGGTCTATTTAGTCCTGAAAGTATTTATGTTGCTTTACGAGGGCATAAGGTGAGCTATTACCTTTTCTTTTGGTCCCTTTAACCTGGAATTACCGGTAACTCATTTAATAAATTGAAAATTTCATTAAATAATATCTCTTGTGCACGTGTCCCTCCCTCCCTCTCTCTCTCACACTCATTCACACACACATAGTTTGCACCGCAATTACTTTTCTTGATAAAGAACTCCTTCAACCTCGTTGGAAAATTTATTCCCCTCACCGATATTTTTCTGGAAGTCCAAAGTTAATTGATGTTGATCAGAACCATGCTTCATCCCTTTCCATTGTGAAGTCTTGCACTGAGGATCCTCCTTCTAAGCATGTCACTTCGATGTTGACTGGTCAAATACTAATGCAGCAAGTGTTAACCCTCTCGTTTATCTTGATTTACAAGGCCTTTGTGATCCTATATCAGGCCATTTGGATTCAAATATTTTTTACCCTTTGCATTCTCAGATGTATTTGGAGTTTGGATCTTCATACCGTTGGAATAATCCGGAATATCCAATTGCTAGAGCTATTTGTTTTTTATTTTTCCTAGCTTTATCATTTCCTGCAATTTAGAGATAAAATCAATTAGTTAGTTTGTTTTTTTCTTGTATATACAAGATCATTTTTTGATGTTTACCGTGATGGGTTTTTGGGTTCAATAAAAGTCCCAACAGAAAGTTGGACAAAAATACCCCTCCATAGTTTTTCTTGATCTCTGTTTACCCCTGTTCTTTTTTCTTGCAGCTTGAATCAAGCAGTTCATAAATTACACATACCTGGGTAACCCTACAATTGATATCTCTAAAGGGAAAAATGGTCAATGATTCATATGGTAATTGACCATATGTGCAGGTCAACAGGACGCAATTTCACATGAGACATGAATTGCAATGCTATTATCTTGATGAAAATGTTATCTGGTTCCCTCATGTTGAAGACTAAGTTAAGAGTTTTGCCAACGAAGAACAAGAATGTAGCACCTGGTTTCTGGTATGTAAATTTATCTAAGTATTTTGCATTTTTAGCCTTGGACTCGGCGAGTTGTAGGCCCGACTCGCCGAGTAGAGCCGGGACATGGAACACGTTTAAGTTGGCGACTCGGCGAGTCCATATTCTGGACTCGACGAGTCCCCGCTGTCTGGTGAAACCCTAATTCCAAGGGTTTGCACCCTATTTAAACCAACCTTATGCGCCCCAAGCTCGCCCCCATTCACCCTCAGA